GGGGGGGGGGGGGGGGGGGTCTCCTCGGTGCAGCGGCTCGGCCCCGCCTCACCCGCTCCTCGCCGCTCCGAAGGGGCAGGAAACGGGAGTAGCATGTCTGTCCTGGGCTCGGCTCCCCCGGGGGAGCTCCGGGCGCTTGACAAGGGCGTCCACAGGTACCAGGCGCGGGAGTGGTCTCCGCGACGGCCCGGGGGCGGCGGCGGCGGCCGGCGCGCCCACTGCCGGCCCGAGGCGCCCGGGGAGGGGGCCCTGGAAGCCCCCCGCTTCTCGGCCACGCTCAGGTTTCCGCGGCGCCGGTGCCCCCCGGCGCCCCGGGTGGGACGTGACCCCGCCCCCGGCGAGTCGGGGCGCCCCCCACGGAGGGGTGCGCGGGGCGCCCCGGGCCCCCGGGCCGCGGCGGGCGCGGGAGGCCCGGCCGGGAAGATGTCTCCTCTCGGTGCGCGCAGCTTCGCGCGAGGGTCAGCGACGGGGCAGCGGGCGCCCGAGCCGCGCCGGCCCTGCCCACGAACGGGCTCCCGCGGCTCGACAGCCGCCCGACGGGCTGGCAGGCTGGGGGCGTCGACGGAGCCCGGCCAGAGGTATCTGAGCAACGCCATGCGAGCAGCCCAGCCGCGATCAGGGCATCTCCCCAGCCAATCTCGTGCTTTGGGGCCCGTTTAAATTATAAATCCCATAAAGGACCGTGGCTTGGGCGTTACGCATCCGGGTCGGCACTGGCGGCTTCGCTACACTGGCTGAGGGGTGTCACACAGATCTTTTTCTCCCTGCCCTGGGTTCCCACTCTTTAACCTCCGATTCCTGGGATCCGGGGATGCAGGGCAGGGGAAAGTACACGAAGTGAATCATACAACTGTCTATACACAACCTGCAAGTCTTTTAGGAAGGTGATAACGACAATTGAAATCACGATAGCTTCTACTTCTATTAAGATTTGAACTCTTGGGTAAAGGCACTATGTGAACCCAAGCTATTATTATTTATTACCACACGGTGTTTTTCTGCAGGCAGACACTGTGAGTTTCGGACATTCTCTACTTTGTTTCACCGCATCCTTAGGAGTCAAGCTAATGTGCCTGGTAGTATTAATACTCGTGTGAAAGACAGTTGAAGTATGGAAAGGTTAAACAGCTTGCCTAATGACTCTTAACAGAGAGGAGCCAGCTCGCGAGAGCAGACCCCAGCATCTCACAACAAAAAAAGGTTTGTTGGGCGCACTCAGGGTGATGAGCACTGGGTGATGTATGGAATTGTAGAATCACTGCACTGTACACCTGAAACTGACTTACACTGTATGCTAACTGGAATTAAAATAAAAACTAAAATATATATATATATATATATGGTCTTAACCTCTTGCATTCCAGTCACTGGCAAATATCCTTTATTCTGATACCAGTTTTTGTTCAAACTTCTTAGATTTTCAGGAGCACTGATGTGAAGAAGATCTTCACCAAAACCTTATCAGGTCTAAAGCCTTTGTAAGTCTTTCAGGCTACAGTAAAATATATCTTAAAAGCGGCAGTCTTTCACATTGGCGCTACCAGACATGGCCCCAGAGGCAACTGGCTGGCTGCAGGTCTAGAAAAAGGCAGCAGCTTGCTTTGGTTTTAAGACGAGGACTCTTGCCACCATCAGATTAAGCGTTAGGCCTCATTGCTATTTGCAAAATAAATGGCTTTATTATCCTGCCACCTGTCCTTGTAACCCATGGGATACTTCAGTGCAAAGAGAAGGAGAAGGAGGTCTCTGGCAGTAGCTCAACTTGGTTTTGCCCTTTTTCTTGTGGCTCCGAGCCGTCAAGTAATTAACCCTCCACACTGAGTTGTTCATCTTCAGTGAACAGACGCCTCCCACAGATTTAACCCAGTTAGGTATGCTGGGAGGAAGTCTAAGAAGGCTCTAAGAGCAGTAACAGTAATACTTAATTTGAACAGAACTGCAAGTAAAAGTTTGGCAGATTGCAACCAGCTCTCTGACTATTTAACTAGTCTGCATTGCGTGGGGCGGGGCGGGGGGGGGGGAGGAAGAGCGTTTAAACAGATATGCACAATGGTTTTCCACAAGCAGTCTTTGTTAATATTTGAAGGCAGATGTGCAGGGTGAGATACGAGATAGTCAGGTGGCTAGTGATTCCCTCCAAATCACGATTGTCAAAGGTGTCTTTTGAGGCTAATGCTTTGCCCTAAGAAACACATTTTCAAGGATAGACCTTGGGTGATTCCCCAAGGAGGACACCAGAGCTATGAACTGTGTGGCTTCAACTGTAGCTACAGGGAGATGCGGAGAGTTGTAGATGGGAAGAGAGAAAGAAAGGTGCCTTTTAGGGACATGGTGAAGAGGACCCTGTTGGAATAAGCTGGCACCTTAGTAAGATATTAACACACCTCTGCCTTCTTGAGTAAAGCGGAGACCCAGCAAGTGCTGAGAGTCAAAATCCAGATCACCACTTCTTTTGGGAGACTTTAGTGGGCGAAAGGAGAATGATGTAGCCTCATCAACTAAGTTAAACTATTTCTAATTTCTCTGCGCTCCTTAAATGTTAAGGAAGTAGGGATGTCCCCAAACAGTAGAAGTCTAAACCAAAATAGAGAAGTCTGTCTTGAAGATTCCCTAAGAGATAGGGTAACTAGTGGTTAAAAAGCTGTGGCATCTGAGACTCAAGGTCTACTCTGCAACTAGCTATTTGATCCTAATGAACTCCTCAAAGCCCCTGTTTTTCATCTATAAAGTAGGAAAAGTACCCAACTCTCAAATGAATAATGTCTTCAAGCTTGATGTCTGGCACGTGACATCCTCCAATTATGAGCATTTATTATGTTTTCTGACCTCTGGTTGTTGTTGTTTTTAAGTTTATTTATTTTGAGAGAGAGCATGGGCGAGGGAGGGGGAGGGACAGAGAGAGAGAGAGAGAGAGAAGAATCCCAAGCAGGTTCCATGCTGGCAGCACGGAGCCCAACCCCGGCTCAAACTCCTGAACCATCACGAGATAGTGACCTGAGCCTAAACCAAGAGTCGAAAGCTTAACCGACTGAGCCACCCAGGGGCTCCTGTTTCTGACCTGTAGTGTTAAGGAAAGTTTGGAGTAAAGATGTTTCCATATTTAGGCAAATTGACATGGAATATAAGCAGTGACTTAGAGCTTCTCCTTTTTCCCTTTCTAGCTTCCATTTTCCTCTCTTCCTGGACTCTGCCTGCCCCTCTCTTCATCATCACCTCCCTCCTAAGGTCTCTTTCTTTCCGTCCTTCTCTCCCATCACTCTGCCACTTCCCAGCTGCTGTGTTCATTCCTCTCTCCGAGCCCAGCCTGTTGTCCTCTACTCTCTCCTCAGCAGAACAGACCTTGCTTGCTCACTTGCCTTATCCATCCATTTGGAACACTTAATTCCATGCTTTCTAGTTTTTTTTTTTTTACTTAATCATTTCCTGAATGGGGTGCCCAGGTAGCTCAGTCAGTTGAACATCCAACCCTTGGTTTTGGCTCCAGTCATGATCTTGTGGTTCATGGGTTTGAGCCCCGCATCAGGCTTTATGCTGACAGCATGGAGCCTGCTTGGGATTCTCTCTCTCTTCCTCTCTCTCTCTGCCCCTCCCCTAGTCATGTGCGCAAGCATGCTCGCTCTCGCTCTCTCTCTCAAAATGAATAAATAAACTTAAAAAAAATCATTTCCTGAACACCTCCCTTCACCTCCTTCCACTAGACTATAAGTTCTGTCAAACCAAGAGCCTGGCCACATTTGTATCTGTCAAAAAAATCTTCCAAAATCAATATCACTTACTTACTGTGTCAACCTTAGGAGAGATAAATGCTAGGTGTTGGGTAACTGAGTTTTAAGGGATAGAAAGTTTCTTTTAGGGGCACCTGGGTGGCTCAGTTGGTTAAACCTCCAACTTCAGCTCAGGTCGTGATCTCCTGGTTTGTGAGTTCGAGCTCCACGTTGGGCTCTGTGCTGACAGCTCAGAGCCTGGAGCCTGCTTCCGATTCTGTGTCTCTCACTCTGCTCCTCCCCCATTCACGTTCTGTCTCTCAAAAATGAATAAACATTAAAACATTTTTTAAAAGTTTCTTTTATTTTTAATGTTTATTTATTTTGAGAGAGAGAGAGAGAGCCAGGAAGGTGCAGAGAGAGGGAGAGAGAGAGAATCCCAAGCTTGAACTTACTTGAAATGGACTTGAACCCACAAACCATAA